TAATTATTTGGGCAAGTAGACAAGGTCAGAGGGAGATAACTGCTCTTTCTTCCTTCTAGCTAAATGTTGCAGTTTATTGAGGGGGTGTAAGGCTTCAAGCAAAGAAAATAGTGCTTGTGTGCTTTTAATCAGGTCATTTATTAATAGTGTTTTCCTCTGAATTCCTGGCTACTATTTCCCATGCCTCATTTTCTATGATCTGTTCTACCTCATATCAACATTTAGTTTTTTATGAGATTAAAAACTGTTTCTTCCCTTTTTGACCTTGATTAGAAAGCTTAGCTGTCTGTGACTTTGAAGCCAGTGATCTTCAAAGCAGAGCTGAGTCACTCTGCAGTGACTCAGGCAGAGTCACTTTTCTGAGGCTGTGCAGAGGGAGAAGTTTCCTATGTCTCTGTGCTCTGGGATGTAGGAATTAGAGACCAGAGCCCTCACTAAGGATTAGAGAGCACACATGGCCTGGACTCTGGAGAAGAAAGCCACCTGCTAGAGTCTCTCCAGACTTCAAGCAGCACATAGGCCAGATCTGGGGATTCCTCTGGTGTCAATTCAGGCAAGGACAGCAGGGCAGGGGGAAAGGAAGAATGACATTCCAAGTCAGGACGCACCTGCTCTCTCCAAGCATTTAAAAAATTTCTACATTGATGATCAATCATTCCACTCAATGTGCTTGGTGGTTATTTGAAGAGATGGAATAACAACTTAAGGTCAAGAACCCTGAATCATCCTCAGATGGGTTCCAAATAAATAGTCCCAAATTATCCAGCAAAAACTGACTGGCATAATTCCAATTGGTTTTTTTTTTTCTTTTTTTGCGGAAATGGGCAAGACGATCCTAACATTTATGTGAAAGGGTAAAGGACCCAGATCAGCCAAAATTACCTTGAAAAAGAAGAACAAGTTTGGGCTGGTGGAGTGTCTCAAGTGATAGAGCACCTGCCTAGCAAGCCTAGCAAGCATGAGGCCCTGAGTTCAAGCCCCAGTGTCACCAATAATAATAATCATCATAATAATAAGTTAACTAATTAAAAAAAAGAACAAGTTTGGAGGTTTTATATTTCCCAATTTAAAAATCTGGTATAGAGTAATCAAAATGGTACAGTACTGACATAAGGATAATCAAACAGGTAAACGAAATAGAATTGTGAATCTAGAAACCAGCACCAGCCATTACAACACATTTTATTCCTCCTCCTCCTCCTTCTTCTTTCTTTCTTTTCTCCTCCTCCTCCTCCTCCCCCTTCCCCTCATCCTCTTCCTCCTCTCCCTCCCCACTCTCAATTTGCATGGACGGTACTTTTTTTCCCCCAGTCTCTTGGCTTTCTTTTCTTCAAAATGAATTGAGAGGCAGGATTAATATACTTAATAAAAAGTGTTTTCTTTTTGGGATCTGAGGTTGAGGATGGATTAAATTAAAAAAAGAAAAAAAGCGTTTTCCCATAAACATGTTTTGGAGCTAAGCAGACACAGCCATGTGGTGAATTCTGGCCCCAGTTTGAGAAACGAGTCTGTCCTCTGTGATTTTGCGGAAGAGCGTTATGAAGCCCAAAGAAGAGAAGGGCCTTTCTTCTTCCCATCTCGCCCTTTATTTTCTTATCTGAAAAAAAAAAAAATGAGGTTTTAGGGTGCTCTCAGCAGCGCAGAAAGATTAAAGGCCCGAATGAGACTAGAATTTTTAGCAAGCGCCCAGCGAGAATAAACGGCTTTCTCTCTACGGTTCACTTGGCCTTGGCTCTGTCCACCTCCTGTTCCACGCCCCTTCCTCCCCCACCCCCTTGGTAGCGCCTCGGGTCCAGGCATTTGACGCCACAGGGGTCCCACGCGAAGCCGAGCCCTGCCTGCCGCGCACTCAGACTGGCCAGCGCCGCGATCGGAGCCGCAGCCCTGCGCCCCGCGCCCCGCGCCCTGCGCCCGGTAACCGCGCGCGGCCCCGCGTCCTCCCGCCGTCGCCGCGCCCTCCGCGCTCTTGCTGGGCTGGGCGGGCGACCTTGCTGTGCGCTGACTGTCGCGGCCGCATCGGTCCCCGCGCCCCTTCTGTAGCCTCCAGCTGGGGCACTAGGACTCGGAGCGGCCGGAGGGTGGAGGGTTTCCCACGCCTCGGTTTGGCGACACTTAGCCCCGAAACTGGGAAGCTGAGGGGTGTTCAGAGGCTGGGAGGGGAGCCTTAGACCTCTGCGAGCCGCCTGAGGGCTTAGATCTCTTTCTTGGGCCTCCACCCCGAGGGGCTGGCTCAGTCTGGGAGTGGGGGGGGGATGGGGGGGGCCAAGGTTCCACCCTGTCCCACTTCTTCTCGAAGCTACTCCGCGGGTCCCTTCCTGAAATGTCCCTTCAACTTCCCCCCTCAACCCCGGCCTTCAGGCGGCTCCTACTCCCCTTATTTACCCGGGATTTTTACAGTTTTTCTGCCCTGTCTCCACTCTGGAATAAGATCCAGAGGAGTCACTGGGAAAATTATTGCAATAATACATACTGGACGTCACTTAGTCCAGTCCCACGCCCGATGCCTGGAGTCCCCATATAACAGTTCAACAAAAGTGCTTGGTTTCTTCCTCAGCTTCCCCACCCCCATGTGGCAGCTGATTCTATTTCTGGGCTTCTCTAGTTCCTTGAATCCAACCATGTCTTTCTCCCTAGGGCGGCCCAGTTGTCTAGGGAATGCTGCCCCTTGTGGTCGCTGGACAGAACAGGGACAATCTGCTGCTGTGTGCATGGATTTGTGTGCTAATGTGACCAGCTCCATATATCCACACGGGCAGAACCCTAGTCAGCCTCTTTCCTTTGTTCCTGAACAGTTTATCCACATCCTCCTCAGTGTGGGAAACCCAGAGACCAGCCCAGTGTCCACGGTGCCATGTGGTCCACTCCACCCAGGGAAGAGCCTTCTGAAAATATTTCCTTACTCCTGTCCTCACCTCTGCAGTAGTGTTTTGGCAGTTCTGTTGCAGTGTATTCTTTAGTGTGGTCCTAGTGTGGGCCAAGGCCTTCTGCCTGTTACTCCAGACTCAGACAATTTGCCGTGGTGCTAACTCTTGGCCAGAATTACAGAAATTCCTCTTTGTTGAAGGCTCTGGCTTCATGACCCTGCTTCTATTTGTGAGACACCTTACCCACTATAGATGGCTTGTCGAATTACCTTGAATTTCCTTGCCATAGACTTCTACACAGGGTGACTGTCCCAACTTTCCAGAGACAACTCACTTGTACCCATTGTCCCAGCATAATAATATCTCTCCCCTTTCACTTTCAAAAGATTTGTGGTTTGAATGATGAGACGCATGTCTGTCTCTAAATTGGATGCATATGCATTCGTAGGCAGTGGGGTGGCGTGTGGCAGCCCAGGAAGAACTCACACTGGGCCTACAGGTGTAAGAGACACGGTATGGGAAGCCAGAATTCTTCTGGACCAATGTCAGCTCATACCCTTAGGTAGAAATCTTTGCTCCCAGTGGGCCCAGAAAAGTGGCACAGAGAACTACATCTAGTCAAATTCACCCCCAGAGTCACAATGGAACCTTAACACTTGAACCCCTAAATTCAACTGCTGTGACTCGTCTCCACCTGCAGAACCCAAGAACTCTGAGTCCGTGCCAGTTAACCAGGGCCACTTAGCCACGGCTAGAGAACTGTAAGGACAGGCGCATGCGTGCTACTAGCTAGTCTTCTAGGATTAGACCAAGAGGTAAGGCACTAGTTATCAACTAGGATGACCAACTATCCTAGTTTGCTTAGGACTGTGGGGTTTCCTGGGACATGGGACTTGCAGTTTTAAATCCAGGAAAGTCCCAGGAAAACTGGGGTAAGTTCGTCATGCTGTTCTCTGCCTGACTTTGCATAAGGCTTACTCCAGGAGCCTCTTATTCAGTCTAGTTTAATTGCTCCAGGTGAGGTCTCAGGTATGTGAATTTTTTTTAGAGCTTCTAAATTGATTTCAACCAGAGTTAAAATCCACTAAGTTAGTGGCAACATCTCTAAATAACCACTGAAGGTCGTTATTTTTTTTAGCAGATGTGGACCCATTCTCTTCTCAAAAGGGTGCATGACCAGATGTGTCTGTCTTCTTACCAAGAAAGCTATCTAAATGGCAGTTGTCTGCTATTGCTATGATTTTTCCCCACTCTAAGGATTGCTTTTTCACTGGTGAGGACTGAGTGTTCCCTGTCCCTGGCATGCTCCTGTACCCTCCTCCTCAAGGTAGTAGGTCAGTGCAAATTGTCTCATTTTGATGGGAGAGGTCATGATTTGCACAGTACCAGACAAAGCAGGCACAAGACTCAAGTTAGGGCTGCTGTCTCCAGGTCTGGGACACACACCCCAGTGAGTGGTGGCTCAGAGGCCAGCCAAGAGGGCTGTAGGTGCTTCAGCGTTACTCTGTGTGGTGCTAGGAACTGGAAGACCAGGTACCTCTGGGGCTGTTCCCTCTGCAGGCCTCCAGAATCATGTGGTACATCAGCACCCGGGGCATGGCCCCACAGGTTGACTTTGAGGGGGCCCTTTTCTCTGGCTATGCACCTGATGGGGGACTCTACATGCCTGAGGAGCTCCCACAGCTAGACAGAGAGACTCTGCGTCATTGGAGCATGCTCTCCTATCCTGGCCTGGTAAAGGAGCTGTGTGCCCTCTTCATCGGCTCTGAGCTCATTCCAAGAAACGACTTAAATGGTGAGTGTCCTCAACCCCTGCCAGTTCAGCAAACTCCCCCACCCCTGACACACACAGAATTGTAAATCCATCACCTAACTGCTAAAAAGTCTCTAGTTGCATTTCCCAAACTTTGGGGCTTTTTCCCCTGACTCTAGAACCCCAGAATCGAAAATATCCCGAGAGTTCATCTGTTCCAGCTCCCACCTCCAGTGAGACAAATGCCCAAATGGTCTGCTGGGAATTTATTTTAAAACCTCTTTAAGAATAAGGATTTGACAGTCATCCTAGTGGTTTGAACATTAGGGTGATTCTTTTTTTGTGTACAAAGCACCAGGACCCCCAGATTGCCATTTTGTCTCTTTGAATGGTAATTCCACAAGGGACATTGCTAGTGTCCTGTACCAGCTTGTCTCAAAACTGTAATGTGCCCGTGGATTCCCTCTGAAGATCTTGGTAATAAGCAGATTCTGGTTTAGTAGATCTGGGGTGGGCCTGAGAATTCTATATTTCTATCATGCAACCAGATGAGACTAATTTTGTTGGTCCATGGACCACACTTTGAGTAGCCAGAAGAAAGTCCATAATGTAATGCTGGATGTTTCGGGATGGGGAGGAGAAAGGACCATTCAGAATGACCAGTAGTGATACCAGTTGCTTTGACACTTGTTAGGCATCTTAGTCTTCTTCAGATCTACAGGCTTAGACTCTGTATTTTAACAAGATCCCAGGGGCTTGGTCTATCTATAAAAGTTTGAGAAACTCTGTTCTAGACTGCCCCTCTATGGGTATGTTAGTGTATCCCCTATGCCCAGGTCCTGGCATCATGGTGTGAGATTTAGTATTACAAAAAACAGACAAAGTCTTTCTGTCTTTAGGAAGGAAAATTAGAAGGATTAGACATGGTTTGTTTGTTATATAACTATTTAATTGACTATTGGAATACATGTTTGTAAGAAACTCAAACAATGAATAAGTGTACAAAGTGGAAAAACTAAGGACTTCTAGCATTAATTCTGGTCTCTGGGAGAATCCTATTGAGCAATCTATGAGCAGTTTAGTGCATGTCGGTCCAGATTTTTTCTAGGTTTATATGATTGTATTCACTCATAAATAGTGTCATTTAAGATAAAAGTTTCTGGTCTTTTTATCTGGTAGAAGGAGATGAAAACTTTAAATTCATCTAAATGCTAAAGAGACTGAGAGAGAACTTGAGGGAAGAGATAATGACTTTCATTCACTGTCCAGTTCTCCTTTCCTGACAGATCTGATTGATCGAGCCTTCAGCAGATTCCGCCACAGAGAAGTGGTTCATCTGTGCAGGCTGAAGAACAAGCTGAATGTTTTGGAGCTGTGGCACGGGGTTACTTATGCTTTTAAGGATCTGTCCATGAGCTGCACTGCTCAGTTCTTGCAGTACTTCCTGGAGAAGAGGAAGAAGCATGTCACCGTGGTTGTAGGTGCGTATTGTGGACATGAGGCTGGAGTCCCTTGGTACCCCGTATGTAGGGTGTCCACATGTAGGATCCCTCAATTGAGTCTCTCAGGCACTGTCATCATTTCTTCTACAGCATGATTCTTAACCTGTTCTCGTGCCATGTACCCCTTTCTCAATCTGGTAGAGGCTATGGATCCTCTCAAAATAATATTTTCAAGTACACAGAATACTTAAGATTATGTGGTACTAAGTTCACCCATGTCCTGAATTTCATCCAAGGATCCATGGACCCCAGGCTATGTATTAAGGTCCTACCCTGCAGTATTTGAAAGTGGATATCGCTGCCTTTGGCAACATTTCTTTTCTTTTCCATCCCCCTCTAAAGGGGAGGGGTCTCCCGTCTTCCCATCCAGGAACTTCTGGGGACACAGGGAGTGCTGCCATTGAGAGTGTTCAAGGGGCAAAGAACATGGACATCATTGTTCTGCTGCCCAAAGGTCACTGCTCGAAGATCCAGGAGCTCCAGATGACAACAGTGCTGAAGGAGAACGTCCATGTGTTTGGAGGTGGGTGCTGAGGCAGAGGTTCCAAGGATGGCATGGTCCTGCCTTGACTGGGTCTCTTTTGGCAGATGATCTGGGACAAAACTTCTCAATTGACTGGCTGACTGTCCTCCCATCTCTTCTTTCTCTCTGTTCATCAGTTACATTTTGAAGTTTGTATATATGCCTTGGCTTGGCTCTTAGCAGTTCCTGGCTACATAGTATCCTAAACTACTTGATGTGACATATGCATAAACCAATTATAATAATTCAACATAGAAAGTGCAGGTTTAGTACTTTTTTTTTTTTTGGTAGCACTGGGGTTTGAACTCAGGGCTTCATGCTTGCTAGGCAGGTACTCTACCGCTTGAGCCATACTGCCAGCCTAAATTTCAGATTTAAAGCCATACGTCACAGAATGCCACCTCCATGTAGTTTCTGTTTGCTGGTGTCACGTGCATAGGCAGCCATGCAGAGCTGTAACCTGAGCTAAGAGACTTTGGTTTTATTCTAAGGCACTGAAGTGTAGAAGGCACAAATGTGTTAAATAATTAAGAGAATGTGTTACTACATGTTGGCAGTTCGTGCTCTTCCCTACAATTCAGAAACCACTAAGCCATGTTCATAGTTGGCAGGTCTAGTATTTAAAATAGGAAGCCGGTCAGCAAGACCCATCATTAGTTACTTATAGCTAGTTCTGTAATAAAGTTCTCAGCTATATTAAAGGAACTATAGCATTTTGTGGTTAGAGAAGGTAGAAAATCATCTCTTTTTGTGCCGGATCATTTATTCCAAATGATTCTAATTGTTGTGGAGACTGAGACTGGAGAAGGTTGGGGAAGGTGTGGGTGGAACTACACATTTTTATTTGCACCTCTCACATTCCACTTGATTTCAGGGAGATGAAAGGTGGGGACAGGAGTTTGAGCAGTACCATGTGTTGGTTGAGGTTCTGTGCACTGTGACCAAGGACAGGCTATCCATGAAGCCTGGCATAGTTTGGTTACTTACTTGGCAGGGATAGCAAAGATTATGGCAGAAAATATTCCTTCTACAGTTGGCTTGGCCTCCTGGTGTAATCCTGTAGAGGATTTTTTTTTTAATGTAACATCAATTTTGTCAAGGAGCAAAGGCAATGTGGAAGCAAACCTTACTCCTGGAAGCAGCACGAATATCCTTTGTCTGTTTGTTCAAAAGCAAACCAAATGCCTATGTTCTTGTCCTTAGCAAGTACAAGCACATTCCAGTGTAGCAAAATCGTGCACGTAGCCTTGATAATTGCTCATATTTGGCTGCATTTTCCTGCAGTCATTGCAAGATTTTAGTGCAAAAATTCAGGCTCTTGAAGGTCCCTGTTATACCCCAAGTACCAAAATTGCTAGTTAGGGACCAAAGACTCTTTTCCTAGCATTAAACTAGAGAATAGCTTTTCGTACTTTTGCCATACCACCAACTTCTTTCTTGCCTTTCACATATATTAGAAGGCTTTGGGTAAAGGCATGTATGGAAGTTCATTCCTGTTGGATAATGGTGCCCATTTGTGAACTAGTGGAAGGCACGTGGCTGATGACGAGTGCAGCTATCACGCTTTATTACTAGAGCTGAAGGTACATTTTTGTTCTGAACAGGTTCTGAGCTTTAAGAAAATAGTACAGTAGGCTTTCAAGAAATCAGTCTTGTTTGTAAACAGCACATTTCAAATTCTTCCTTTCTTTTCTGGTTTGGCTGTAAGGAGGATGTTGTAAGTTCAGGAGCTAACAATAAGTGTGTGTTTTCCCTTGGATTGATGAGCTCAGGGGATAGGGATAGACCACTTAGATTATTGTGTGTGGACCTTAAATTTACAAAGTTGTAATTTCCACATACATTGTGTAGTTCTTAGCATAAGCAATCAGTACGGACTAGGTATTAATTGATTCTATTATTGGGGATGTTTTTTGTAGGAAGTAACAGAAAACCTAACTCAGGCCAGCTTAAAGAAGAATAATTTCCAGCTTCTGTGACTGGCCTTCCAAAGATGGGGTGGGTTTTCACTGACTCAATAGTACCTTCAGGAGCTCAAGTTCTTCTTTTCTCTACTCTGCCTTCCCCAGTCCTAAAGCTTATTGCTCTTGTGGTCATATAATGTTGACACAAGGTAACCAGATCTCTGTCTTTTCCTGTGGCTCTTTCTTAAAAGCAGCAAATCTTCTCTAGAACCCAGTAAACATTCCCTTGTGTCTCACTGGCCTAAATTTATCATATGCCTATCTTGGTGCCAGTCTTGACCCCTCAGGAATTCCAGGTACTGATTGGCTTGGTCCTGGCAAAGGAATGGGATTGCTGTGAGTAGCTCAGGCCACTTGGGGTTGACACTTGGACATAGACTCAGTCCCCAGTCCTCATTACTGCTATCTAGTGGTTAGGGGGAAATGGTTCACAACCTTAATGCTTGCTGTGGGACTTCCCAATAAATTTCACCTCTCCCCTCCAAGCATAGATCCAATGGATAAAGACCCATGTATCAGATAAGAATCAACATTGTGTGGTTGCTAGTTATGCTAGATTGAGGAATATATGTTGGACTAGTGGACAATTCACTGATAAGTTTACCCAATAATTCACCCATAAATTAAACCATTATACATACCCAACTTCAAGGAAGAGAAGTTCTGCCCAAGCAAGGTTACCTGGCATAGAGTTGCAGAGAGAGGAAAACTCATCCTTGTGATCTCAATGAGGGCAGACCACAGGGGAATAGTGACCATTTCTCCTGAGCCCCAGTAGAGATATGGAGTAAAGGATCAGCTTCTCACCATCTCACAATCAGGTGAACAATTCCCCCTCCTTTGCAGAAGAGTGGAGGAATTGGGCATGGAATACAAAGGGAAATTCTTTTCCCAATACGCAAAAGGTTGACATCATATATCTTATTTTATATAATGATAGTAACATTAGAAATGGTTCCAGCTATCTTCAGGTGAAGGTAAATATTCAGGATCACAGGAATGAAAATAAGTCCGAGCCATGTAAAAGTAAAGAAACTCGAAGACTGAGTGAAGATCCCAGGAGGGTGGGCTCAGCCTGGGAGGACCTTGGCCCAGTCCAGCAGTGGCCATCTGGGGCTTCATCCTGCCCTTGAGAGCTGATTCTTCTCTCCCCAGCAGTGGAGGGAAACAGTGATGAGCTTGATGAACCCATCAAGGCCGTGTTTGGTGATGTGGCTTTTGTGAAGAAGCACAACCTGATGAGCCTGAACTCCATCAACTGGTCTCGGGTCCTCGTGCAAATGGCCCACCACTTCTTTGCTTACTTCCAGTGTGTACCCTCCTTGGACATGTACCCCTTGCCTCCTGTGGAAGTGGTTGTGCCAACAGGGGCTGGTGGTAACCTTGCAGGTAAGAAACCCAAGGGTCAGATAAGCTTTCTACACAGATTCCCAGTCTCTTTTCAACTGCCCTCTGACTGGAAATGTGAAGAGAAAGAAGGTCAAGTCCTAGTTCCAAAGGCAACAGGAAACCACACTGAAGAACACCTCAGAGGATTTCCCCACTAACTTCTGGGGGAACATCTTGGGTGCTTGCTCAGGGGGGAGGGTAAGGGCTTAGCCCTGGGGTCCTCCAGCAGCTTGAGCTGCTGCTCTAGCTCACTCAGCAGAGTGTGGAGAGACAAGGTCAAAGGTTGTCCTTGGAACCTGACGGGCAGTGCTCTCTCCCAGAAAACTGGACTTTACTCTCAGCTGTGCAGGCTGCCTGCTGTGGGGGCAGTACTCAGGTGCCATGTGAGGCGCAAAGCGTGCTGAACTTAGGATTCTGGCCTTAGTCTGCCCTTTAATAGCTGAGTGTGTGTAGGCGGTCCCTCAGACTCAAATCTTAGCTGTAAAAAGGAGATTGAATCGCTTACCGTATCTTTCAGGACTGTAGTGAGGAGCAAGTAGGATTCTCGTGTGCATATGAACTTTGTAAGGGTAAAGTGCTGACTGACCGCGTGGCAGCTTCAGGCACAATTCTTAGGTCTTTTCACGTATTAATTCATGCACCCTCATGTGGGACTTTAAGCCAGGGGCAAAGATAAGTCATCTTGCCCCTGGTTACATGGCTGGTCAGTAACAGAGCCAGGACTACAGCTCAGGCAGTCCAGAGCCTGCGTCCTCACCAATTCTCAGAGCTTATGGTGTTACTGTTTCTGAGAGTTCTGTCTCTGAAAGGCATTGGGGTGGTGTAGGTGAGACCATGAAGACATCTTAATGGTTAAAAACTTCTCAATTTCTTCCACTAGCAGGGGCTGGAAAGAGCAGTGGGTTGGCAGTTAAACAAGGACCTTTGGCTCCTTTACCATGCATGGTGGGGGATATCTACCATACTTCCCATTCATGTTACTTTCTAGCTAGTGGTGCCAGCTGCAACTGTGCAGCTGTGGCCTCTGCAGCCCAGGGTCCTCCACAGTGCTTGACACAAAGTAAACATGTAGCCACCATTTGCTGAGGGCATTCCTGTCCGGCCCTGCTCCATCAGGAACTGTTGGACTTTAAGCCCCTGGACCCTCCTGAGTGTCCATTTCTTCTTTTCATCCAAGAATATCAATATTTCCATGAGGACTCAAGGGAAATAAGAATCGGAAAGTGCTTTGCAAAATTAAGAGTGATATTGGGGAAATGTGCGTAGCCCTAAGTCCCCTTAACCACTCACTAGAGAAAAGCCACTCATGAAAGTATATAAAACCTTCCTAGGCTATGTCACATATTGGAGCCTTCCATCTCTCAGGGTGAGGAATTCCTTGTTTATACCATGCAAACAAGAGCAGCTATTAGGGTGGACTGGGGGTGCTGCTCTGTCCTCTCTTGGCATGTCTCCAGGAAGCACCATCTGGAGCCACTGTTTCTAAGAGATGAGTTGGGGGAGGATTGTGTGTTCTAGACTCATGTGTACTTTGAACCTGGACTCTGCTACTTAGCAGGTCTTGGACATTTCAACCTCTTGTATTTTTATTTCTTCTTCTACAAATAAGTTGTCTGACAATAGTGGGCGTGTGTGGGCACCTGGTAGGTGGCTGGCACATAGAACAGGTCACTGTGATTCTCTCTCTAGCTTATTGCTATATGATTTCCATTCATTCACACATTTCAAGTGTACAGTGGTTTTTAGTATATTCACAGAGTTGTGTGACTATCACCACAATCAATTGTAGTACATTTATAGCCCCCTAAGATAAAACTCTGTGCCCATTAGCAATTTCTTCTCATTTCCCCTCAAGCTACTCTCCCCACAAGCAATATGCAGCCACTCAGCTATTTTGTCTCTAGATTATCCATTCTAGACATTTCTTAGAAATGGAGTGACACAATTTGTGGCTTTTTGCATCTGACGTCTCTCACTTAGCATTGTGTTTTCAAAGTTTATCCATATTGTAGCGTGTGTCAGTATTTATTCTATTGCATGGGTGTATCATATTTTGTTTATCAACTTCTCAGTTGATGGGCATTTAGATTGTATTAAATTTGGGGCTATTATTTATACTGCTGTGTACATTGGTATGTTAAGTTTTATGTAGACCTGTGTTTTCATTTCTTTGGGATATATAACTTATAGTTCAATTGCTGGGTCATATGCTAACTTTATGTTGAACATTTTGAAGCACTTCCAGACTGTTTTCCAAAGTGGGTGAACCATTTTACATCCCACCAGCAATGAGAATGTTCTAGTTTCTACATATCCTTGCCAACACTTTATCTGTCTTTTTTATCCTGGTGGGTATGAAGTGGTGGCTCACTGTGGTTTTGGTTTGTGTTTTTCTAATGACACTGAGTGACTTTGTGACTTTTCATGTGCTCATTGGCTATTTGTGTAACTTGTTTGGACAAATTTCTACCCAGATCATTTGCATATTTTAAAATTAAATTAACTATATTTTTATTATTTAGTTTTAAGTGTACTTTATGTATTCTGGATGTATACATATTTATGTACACGTTTATATGTGTATATTCTTGATATCTAATCAGATATATGACTTGCAAATACTTTTTCTCTTTCTGTAAGTTGTCTTTTCACATTTTTTGATAGTATCCTTGGAAGCACAAAAATATTCAAACAATACAAAAGTTTCTCAGTTTTGATGAAGCCCAATTAAATTTTTTTTTT